ATTTGTTCCTAAGAACTCAATGTCATAAGTTCCTAAGAACTCAATGCCAGGAAAATTTTCACTTTTGCTGAGCAATTGGTTTGTTGTTGTCTCATGGACAGCATGAATCTTATAAGTGATCATGCTTTCCTTATTCTTTGTCTGTAATGAAGTACAGCTTGTTTAATTTTTTAGACCCCATAAAATGCATTTCTGCATTAGAAAAATTTCTCTCATATAGTATAAATGCACCTTTTTAAAAGATATTATTCTATTAATATTTTAAAATATCTATACTTATAAATAAGCTCAAATACTCCATGAAATAGAGCATATATTACTAAATTAAAACAGTGGCACAATATAATGACACAAATTTGAGTTTGTTGGGGAATCATACATAAAATCTAAATCTTCCCTCAACTCAGAAATGTTCTTTACAAAGGTAGTAGAGAGAGAAGGGGAAAACCACTTTAATATTGAATAAGCATTAAACCAAAATGGGATATGCATCGCAGTTCACCTGCTAGGAGACAGCAAAGACATAAAGACACTTCAACCCCTTACATAGCCAAGCAGATACGACCCATTACGTACATGTTTCAATATAAACAATAACCAGTCCTCAAGTCCTCAAGTAAGATAACTTGACAGCACCATTTGTCACACATAATTCATTCTAACTTTACCTGGTAATTTGGGTGACCATCTGTGTTAGCTAATTGGTTTCATCCAGGGGGAAAAAAGAAAAAAAAAGCTTCTCATATGTCTATGACAGGAGGTAGTTTTGAGACTCGGAGCAAGGAATCCACAGAAATTAGACTCCTATCCTCCCAAACAGACTTGGAGATGGGGTACAATTTCTGTTGACGTTAAGTATTTCAAAGTGTTAAAAGGAAAACTTCAGACAAATTAAATTTAACAGAGTTTAATTAAGCAAAGAACAATTCACAAACTGGGCAGTCCCCACTTCCAACCAGAATAGACTCAGAATGATTTTTGTGCTGCCCATCATCAGGGAGGATTTATGGGAAAAAACAAACAAACAAAAAAGTGACATACAGGGCACAGAAGTGAGGTACAGGAACAGTAAAATTGGTTACAGTTGTATGTTTGCTTTTTTTAATGTAAGTTGAACAACTAGCCAGCTTTGATTGGCTGAAACTCTGTCATTGCCACAAGAGTGGGTTACAGTCTATTTACATCAGTTAGGTTACAGTTCATTACGTATGGAGAAGTTAGGCCAAACTTAAAAGTTGTATGGAGGCAGCTTTAGGCTAAACTGATAACAAAAACTAAATTTAACAAAGGAAATGGCTCTCAGAGCCTTGAGAAAGATATTCTTGGGTCGTAAAGCTGACAAACACCTATATAGTTTTCAAAAGAGAGGTGAAAGTGTTAAGTTTTCCAGCGTGAGTGCTCTAAGAAAAAGGAAAACAGGAAAATTTCTTCCCTATTTTCAACAGGGAGAATTAAGCCTCATACTTTTAATTTGCATTTTCTCTTACAAGTTCTTGATAAATACATTTAAAAAAATAATAAAAATATATATTCTATATTTATATATATTATATATAATATATATTTTATATATTTTAGTTAAATTATCACAAAATATCCAATTACAGATAATTTTACAGTATTATTACTTTATTTAAAAATAAGAACATAATCCCTAAGTAGTCTGGGACATTGAGCACATTTTTAACCTATAATTAAGAACATAATTAGTTGATTGGGTTCCTGGTCAACCCAACGATGATCCACAGCTTGAATGAATCAACCTGTAGCTTGAATGAATTGTATTAGTAGCCCACATTCTGGTTCCTAACAGCAGAGATAAATGCTGTGTGATCAGACAATAAGGAAAGAAAGGCTCCTCCCTTTTTCCTGGATATAGGACTGAACTTGAAAGTGTGATGAATATAACTCATTTGTTTACTGCTGTCTCTTTTTCTGTATCCCTCTTTCTCTTTGTTTGCCTCTTTTCAGCACCCCGTATGCCCTGGTCATATTCTGTGAAACTAAATTTTTGCCCTAATATACTCCTTTTATTCAATGTACATAATGTCTAAATTTATGTGCTATACTTCTCTGTATTAAATCTTTCCTAGCTCTTCTTTGTACCTGTCTCAGCTTAGTGTGAGAAGGAATGCATCCTGCCGAACAAACTTAAACACATGTGTAAATGGCCGAAAAAAGAATCTATTAACCCTCTTAGGCAAGTTTTCATTATCAACAGAAAGGTTTCTTAAATCAATGGAATCCTCAAGCTTTTAAAATTTAACAGTTTACTAAAGGATGCATAGAATTCAAGCTAAGGCCACAAGATATTTTGGATACAGTGATGCTACTCTGAAGAGATACTAGCTCAGTTTGATGTCTTGCCTTGGGATAAGTTTGTCTGAGTCATTCTTGATTTTCGTGGCTAACAGGCATATGCCTCTTCACCTCCATGTCCCTGAAAACTATTTTTTTTTTTTTTTTTTTGCTCAGGGTTTTGCTTGTTTGTTAGTTTCATTTTTGTTGCTGAAAAGGGGTCCTCATCCAGTCCTCAAGAGAGGGTTCTTGGTTCTTGCGCAAGAAAGAATTAGAGGCGAGTCCATAAAGTGAAAGTAAGCTTATTAAGAAAGTAAAGGAATAAAGAATGGCTACTCCATTGGCAGGGAAGCCCCAAGGGCTGCTGGTTGCTCATTTTTATGGTTATTTATTGATTATATGCTAAACAAAGGATGGATTATTTATGCTTCCCCGTTTTAGACCATAAGGGTAACGTCCCGACGTTGCCCTGGCAATTGTAAACTGTCATGGCACTGCAGGGAGTGTAGCAGTGAGGACGACCAGAGGTCACTCTCATCGCCCTCTTGGTTTGGGTGGGTTTTAGCCTACTTCTTTACTGCAACCTGTTTTATCAGCAAGGTCTTTATGAACTCTATCTTGTGCCGGCTTTCTATCTCATCCTGTGACTCGGAATGCCTAACTGTCTGGGAATGCAGCCCAGTAGGTCTCAGGCTTATTTTAAGTAGCCTCTATACAAGATAGAGAGTAGTTCTGGTTTAAAAGCTTCTGAGATTTTTCCTCCAATGGAGTGGCAGCAAGGCTGGTGCAGGTGAAGAGCTGGGCAAGCAGGCAGAGCGGAAGTGTTTATCTTATATGAGTGGTTCTTGGTAGCGACTATAAGCAAATGACTCATCAGACGCACACCCAGGAAGATGAGTTTTTATACCAAAACATGAGGAATCATTGGGAGGTTTTTTTTTTCCCCAGAAAAATTAAATATAGTTTGTCTTCTGTCAAAATTAATTTAATTGAAGAGTGGGAAGTACTACCCTTCAATTCCTCTTTAGAGTACAAAAAATGTTAACTGCTTTCCTTTGTAATTGTCTCTATCACTCATGTTGCAATTAGTTGAGCCTAATCCACCTTTCCCTTATTACCAGTGGATGTATTGCAAAGCAGAGAGAAAAGAGCGCTCATGTGTTGAAAAAATTATTATGTATGAAATTAACTAAGTCAAAATTCTCTTTTGTTTTAATGAAAAAGGCTTAGGCTTCCCTTATTTCCAAGGAAAAGGAAAGGTGCTCCTGAGCTTTTTGAATGTATATCAGGAGAGGAGACTTCATTTCCTAGACAATTAAAAGTTTTGTGGTGGTGGATGGAGAACCATGTTAATAATGTATATCCCCTTGAGGCAAGAAAGTGGAAAAATTAGTATGGGCTAATGAAGGATGAGATTTTCACTTTATCAATTCACCAACACAGTTTTTTGTACATATTTAATGCTGTATAATGAACATTGAGTTGTAACAGTTTTTTTTCCACTGGTTTAAATTTATAGTGTTTTGTGACTTTGGGCTTAATTGATATCTTTATGTTAAGGCTCTTTCATCTACATGAGAACTACCCTATGTTGGTCTATAAAACCTGTACTGAGGTGTAAGTTTGCCACTTCTTATCTTACTTTAAACTATTTATTAGGATTCCTCAAAAACATAGACTTAAACATATGAAGGAAATTTTTCATATATGTACACTAATCTTTACAAGTAATACTTATGTAAAACTAGATATTTTATTTTAAAAAATGCAACAATTCTTTTAACCTCTGACAGTTTATGCAATTCAAGGAAAATAGTTTGATGCCTTCCTTCGTCCCCTAGAACATCTTTTATTATCCATTAATGATAATATAATAATAATAGGAGATTTTTATTAAGATCTTCTGGGCTGAACACAGTGGCTCATGCCTGTAATCCTAGCATTTTGGGAGGCAAGGCAGGTGGATTGCCTGAGCTCAGGAGTTTGAGACCAGTCTGAACATGGGAAGATCCCTTCTCTACTAAAATACAAAAAATATAGCTGGGCATGTTGGCGTGAACCTGTAATCCCAGGTACTTGGGAGACTGAGGCAGGAGAATCACTTGAACCCTGGAGGCCCAGGTTACAGCAGTGAGCCGAGATTGCACCATTGCACTCCAGACTGGGAGACAGAGCGAGACTCTGTCTCAAAAAAAAAAAATAAATAAATAAATAAATAAATAAAAACGAGAGAGAGAAATGATCTTCTGATGAGCCAGGTGTATCGTCTAGAGATTTTTCTACATATCCTCAAAGGCAACACTAGGAGGTGGATGTCATCTCTTTTCAAAGAAGACAAAACTGTGCCTTAGGGAGATTCAGTCCCTCAAGCAAGGTGACACAGCTAAAAGGTGACAAAACCTAGATTTAAAGATCCATCAACTAACTTCAAGATCATTATGTTGTGCTGCTGCCCAGGGACTAGAGCAACCAACATGAACCTGCAATGTATTTCTTCCCAAGAAAAAGTACTATTGAAGAGGCTGAACTAGAAAGAACACAGATAATAGTGGATTAGTAGGAAAACTAGGAGGAAGGTTTGGATTTTATATATCAGACAGTCAGGACACTATGGAAATATTCACTTTATTCACTAGCTTATTTAAAGGAAAACACATAATATTTTTAGGTAAACATGTATTTATCCCTCTTTCTTTCATTCAGATGGAGTGGTTGTCTGTTCAAGGCACTACAACTCAGGGGGCTAGAGAGATGGAATGGGGAGACATGGGCCCTGTTGTCAAGGTAATTTAAAAATGTGTGCCTCACCTCTATCATACTTCTGCATTTTAGGGAAAAATCAAAGACATGATTTATGTATCTGAATATTTTCTTATAAAATTATTTCTAATAAGAAATCTGGACATAAACTAAAACTTCCCCAAAACAAAGAAATTAAGTAATTATAAATAATTTTAGAGAAAAATTATATATATATATTTCTCGAAAAATTATCAAGATAAAATGTTAATGAAAAAGGTATACAACTGTATCCTTAGTATATTCCCAAAAGTAAGAAATCTGCTAATATATACATATATATTATATACACATTTATTTGTGTATATATATCTATATATGTAAAGCCATAAGAAAATATAGAAAAAACACAATTACTTGTTGTAGAATTATTACCAAATTGTCAGGGGTTCTGCCTTGGACCTGCTACTGGCTGCACAGAAAGCCAATGACTGAGACAATGAATATTGACAGAGAAGAAGGTTTTATTCAGATACTGCAGTCAAGGAGATTGAAGAGCAGTCACAAATCTATCTCCATAATGGACTGAAATTAAGGTTGTATATTGCAGGGAAGAAACATAAACATGTGTGGGAAAACAAATTGGCGGGGGAAAGGAAGAGAAGTTTGTCAACAGGAAGCAGGTGGTCAGTTAGGCAATCATGATGGGTGAGGTGCTGGCATCTCATTGTCCAGATGTGATGATTTGGTAAGTTTTACTTCCTTGACACCATTTAGGAGGCCAGAGGTTGGTTTCCCAAGAAAGGAACTCCTATAAGACAACTGTAACTTTCTCAAGTTTTAAGAATGGAGGGTCAATTTCTATGTTTATTCAAAATATACCATAGATATTACTCTTTGGGAAAATTGGACTGATTTCAGAATTGAAAGTTATTTTAAAAAGTATTTTTTCTCCTATCTACTTCTTCCACTTACCATGAAGAAAATTAAACATAAATTTAAAAAATTAAGATACTGATTTCAAAATACTAAATTGATAGCATTTCTTGAGTTTCTTTTAATATTTATAGTGGAAAATACAACTTAATTTTACAACTGGCACATATAAGCAAGTCGCTTTAATAATTTTCACTAGAATATTAAAATAAAAGTTTCTTTCAACTAAAATGTGCAAACCAATGTGTAAGTGATATAGAAATAAGATTTTATGAGGACCTTGCCCTTGAATAATGCTCAATAAAAAAATTAAAGGAAGGATGGATGAAGAGAGGATGATGGATGAAGGAAGGAAAGGAATCAAGGAGAGAGGAAGGAGGGAGGGAATCTCCAATACAAAGTTTAATACACAACTGGAATATTTAGAAAGAAGACAATCGATGCTATAAATGACACATAAACAATGTAAATGTTGATTAGAGTGTAGTGCTCAGGGGATTCCTATAGACTGTAATATGAATAATGAGTTTAATATTAGCAGGCACAGAATGTTGAGCATTTTAGGCAAGCACATTGGAGAGCACAGAGTGATTTGAAATATCAGCTGGGCTTGGTGGCTCACGCCTGTAATCCCAGCACTCTGGGAGGCCGAGCGGGGTGGATCCCAAGGTCAGGAGATCGACACCATCCTGGATAACACCGTGAAACCCCGTCTCTACTGAAAATACAAAAAATATTAGCCGGGGGTGGTGGTGGGCGCCTGTAGGCCCAGCTACTCGGGAGGCTGAGGCAGGAGAATGGCATGAACCTGGGAGGTGGAGCTTGCAGTGAGCCGAGATCGCGCCACTGCACTCCAGCCTGGGTGACAGAGTAAGACTCCGTCTCAAAAAAAAAAAAAAAAAAAAAAAAAAAAAAAGAAATATTACATGGCTTAATCTATCTGCCTTGTCAAAAACTTTAGACTTGTCCATATACTGTAATATCAGATAGAATAATTGTGTATATAAATGAAATTATATTTCTTTCCCTGTAGCACTCCAAAGACCTGCTATTTACTTGCAATAAAAGATCAACTCCTTTTTCTACTCAGTAAGACCGTACATGATTCAGTCCTTCACAAGCTCTCCTTCCTTATCTGCAACTCTCCCCTTTCTCTGTCCTCCAACCACACTGACCCTCTTTCATTTCCTCAAAGTTAAGAGCCTTCTTTCCTTGTAATACTTTATTTCATGCTCTTTGTTTGGCTCTCTCCATTTTTTTTTTCCTTAATTCTTATTATTGTTCAACTTAATGTCCAGCTTTTCAGAAAGACTACCCCTGACCACTTTCATGACACATGTCACCATTTGTTATCATTGTCAGTATTTATTCGTTTGCATATTGATTAATTAGCTGAGTGAAAGATTCATTGCTTGTCTATCCTTCTCACTAGATATTGAGCTCCACAGTGACAGTAACATCTCTGTTTAATTCAATATTTGTCCAATACCATTACACAGCAAGTGTCCAGAGGATGTTTGAATATTTATTGGGCGTTTAGTAACCAATGATGACACAGAGTGGAAAGGATTTTAGACACATTCGCAGTGAAAAACTGAACTCTTTATTAGAAAAGGATGCCAGAAATTAAAATGAGGGAGAAGATTTCAGAGAAGCCACCAAGATAATACCCCAAAATTTCAGCAGTGATACCCTGAAAAAGAAGAGGCAGAGACCACACTTTCTTTTATAGTCACATGAAAAGAACAGCGGCTCTGCCTGTGATAAAGACATAGATTATAGGAGGATGAGCAGGTTTATTTTCGGAAAATGATGGCTGCTTTTCCTTTTTATGTCAAAATTGAGATTCTGGCAGAAAAGGTTGTTAGAAATATCCACAGGTGGCTGGAATTATGATGCAGATGCTCAGGAAGGTGGTGAAATTAGAAAACAACTTGGCACTGAGGGCAAAACACGTGAAATGCCCCTACAGGTAGTTACTGTAGTTTAATATGACTTTATTAGAGTTTAAGAAACACTACCTATGGGGTTGTATTTAACTATAGACTTATAATATTTCTGATCCAGTAGAGTAAGTCTCTATAAATTATATGTGTTAATGTGTACACTGCTGTTTTAAAATTATTTTTTGTATTTGCTTTGGCAGGACATTTTGGGAAACTGAAATGTTTATGTTAGCGATTCCTAAAAGTTTGAACTTCAGTTAGAGGATTTGATTTAATGCCACACATCTCATCTTTCTTATTCTCCTTTGCCAATCTACAGATAAATGCATTACTGCTTAAAACTGTTTGAAAGCTGAAAATACCACTTGCCAAAGTAATACATAAAGCCAAAAGACTAAAGATGTTAGGTTATGCATTCATTATGAGAAAGTGACATATATTAATATTAAAATTGGTAAAATGTGGGTGCTATTAGGACATAATTGAGAACAACAAAGTCAGCCTACTTCAAAATGTGGTAAGAATCTGAGAGTTAGGTTGTCTGTGATTGCTGGGTTCTGGACTTGAGTTTCAGGAAGAAAATTCTTTGTATTTTGAGTGTTCTTCCAACTCAGCAAAGTCCATGTTACTTAGTTCTGCATCCTGTTGAAAAAGACTGCTAAGGTAGAAGGTCTCAGAAAGAGTGGTTTAAGGGGGAAATTGTGGCAGGAAAAGGAAGAATAAAGAAGGACTGGGTATTTGTGGAAGACCACTTAGTTCATGGGTAGTATGGTTGCACCAGTTTTGTCAAAAATAGATACACCATATGTGTTTGGTATATACAGATTTGCAAGTGCTGTTTGTCTGGTTTTCCCAACACAAAGCTAATTTTTTTGTGAAGACAGGTGCTGTAGGGCACCTGCTCACATTTATTAATAGCATGTAATTCATTTGGATTTGGGAAAAATAACATTTTTCTCCCCTTCCTTTTAAGACTTATGAATTCAGGTCCAGAAGAATGGTCTTGTTTATATTCTGTGTTGCTGATATACATGAACAGACTATGTGCTGCGTTTATCCTCTACCTGATTTGTCTTATAACTAAAGCTCAGCTTTGTAAATGTGGTTTGTTTGCCCTTTCTTATTACTGTGAAGTCCTTTCTGCCCTGAGACTGTTAAAATATTTTTTTTTCTTAATGAGTCTTCCCTAGTATGACTAGTATATCTTTCCTCTGTACCTGAATACTTTCATATTTTTTTCCTTTTGAACTCACAATTCTAAGGGTTGGAACCCAGCTGAACTGCACCAGAGGCCATATTTTCTCATCCCTTCCATGTGTGATATCTGACATAATTCTGCGAGGCATTGTAAAAGCATCTCGAGAGCTATTTAAGTGCAACCCTAAGATAAGGTATAGATAGTATTTTTTCTTTCACTCTACCATTCTTTGCTTTTTCCCTCCTCTATTTTATTTTATTACTTTTATTGGAGATTAATACTTTTGGGAATCTATATTTTTAAAATTGGTATCATCTTAAACGGACTAAGCATTCCAATGAAGGCAAGTTTCATCCCAGCCAACCCAATAGCAGGGAAAACAGGAAATATTCTTCTCGGATTTGACGCTTAGTTTGTATTGAAAAATACATAAATTCATAGACTTCTTTTGGAGAATTTGATCTAATTGAATTAACTGAGTTTTCTATACTTGTTTATTACACAACCAGTTTTATTTCTTAATGAACACATTTAAGTTGTCTTCACACACACACACCTCAAGGTTCTGTGAATTCTATACTTGCTGTTATGAAGAAATCCAGGCTTGTGTTTAGACCCTCTCCTGAGGATCATAGCCCAATGAGTTTCATATTGTTATATTATCGTAAATGTTCTGTTATCTTCATCATTTTTCAATTCAATTTCTTTCCACAAGTGTTCTGCTTTCTCACCAATGTACTGTCACATTATTTTTCCACAGTTAACTTCCTGGACAAATAAATCTGTGGGATTTATGCAATTGCGCTTTAAAGCAAGAGTGGCCATTTTGGCTATGACTATATAGTGTATACTTTGGTAGGGTTTTCTGAAGCTTCTGTAATTCATCACTCTGACTCAGTATGGCCTTCATCACCCTGATGGGTTTCTGATGATATAGACTGTTGAAACAGAGGAAGGAATAGATA